TAAGACGTTTGCCATGGTGCTTGAGCTTTGATCTGGCATGGAGCAGGCGCCTCTTGAGAACTCCAATGCTGGGGATGTCGTGAATCAACAGGGTTCGATACAGTAGGGGTGACCAGACATCGAAGGCAAGACTCCAACATGGATGACTTTTATGCACACGTTGCAGCCCGTTCTGAATTCTTCGACCCTAGGCCCACAACCCCAACCTTTGATGGCCTCTCAGATTCAGATCTGCACCAAACGGCCCTGCCGGCTCTGAATCTCCGAAGGCTTTCACTGGCGGAAAGAGCTACAATGACATCGCCAAAGACAGTCTTCAGCACCGGGGCTGCAGGTGTTTTGCGGGAAGGATCCGAAAACAAGACTAAATCCCAAAGCTTTGAAAACCCGAGTCGATGTTGAGTGCAGGGTTTTGAGGAGCAGAAGTGCCTTTCGGACTTCGTGTTCTGTTCTGCTTGGAACTTTCAACGCTGCAATGCTGCAATTCCCCGATCTCCACGGAAGACCACAAGGAACTTCCCTACACATGCGGAAACCCTAATACCGGCTTCTTGCTGGATGAGTCGCCAGCTTTCTTTGAAGCTCCTCAGACTCCATCTTCTCCTCTGTCCGGTGCTGAGCCGTCGTGGTTGGGAATTTCTGGTTTTCGGCCCTGCGCCCTAAACTTGGCCGGACTTTGCATCGGGAACTTTGGAGGTTTTTAGGGTAAACCTGCTCTGTGTGATCGCGGAGCCGGCTTCCTCCCACACAGCTAGCGTCCTGCGAGCGGGAATCTAAGTCTCAGGTTTCGGAAAGGCCCAACAGGAGTCCATCGATGAAAGAGAGCTCGAGTCCCCCTCGACCCTTCTTTCGGGCCTTCCTCTGCTCCCGGGCCTCAGGGTTACCCAAATGCTGACACCCTAAACCCCAAACCCTTAAACCCTGAACCTAAACGTTAAACCCTAATTAAACCCTTAAACCCTAAACCGTTAATTAGAGGTTCTGGCCTCGCAGACTTGTTTCTGCAGCATCGCCTGGCCGGTGTCTTCTGCCGGGGGTGCTGTGGATTCAGACGGAGATTGCCACTACTAACTACTCCCGCTAAGCATTTATTACAGGGTTTAAGTCATTGAAGTTCCTTGAGGCAGGTGCAGCAGTCAATACCGTCTTGCCCGATAAACATGTTCCACAGTCGAAGCTGCCAGCACTATTGTTTATGGCTCGTGAATCACGTGGCGAGAAATGCGCAAGCGACCACACCCCACTTTCACCCTTTCCAAGCTTCAGCCTACTAGCTGCAAGCCGAAGCATTAGCAAACAACGAACTTATAATCGACTCGACGGCCACCCTTAACATCCACAATCAACATGTAGAGGCATCCACAACCACACGAGTGGGGGAAGCACGAAGCAGATACGGGAGAGAAGGGGGGAGAAATGGGTGGCGAAGTGCGCAGGGTTCCGGGTTCCTACAGACACAGATATACAATCTAGACATAGATATAGGCTATAGGTGTGGGGTTTATATATACATAAGTATATATTATAGATGGTCAAACATTTACCTTGATACATAATGGTATATCCAAATACATATACATGAATATGTTTTAATACATACATACATACATACATACATACATACATACATGCATACATAAATACGTGCATGCATACAGACATACACACACACACACACATACACATACACACACACACGTACACATATACATGTACACATACTTGTAAATATAAGTATGCATTTGCATATACATATCCATATACATATCCATATACATATGCATAGACAGGTACATGTCCATGTACATGAACATGTATATGTACATACATACATACATACATACATAGATACATACATACATACGTACGTACATACATACAAGCACATACATGCATACATACATACATACATACTTACGTACAT